TCATGCTAATGTGCAGCGAGACCTAATCAACTAGCTGAAATCAAAAAGTGGACTTCAGTCCAGCCTCCCCCGCGACGGCACGTTAGTGTTACTGGGTTCAAGTGGACGAAGTCGGCTAGTCTTCTCGCTGGTTCGTAGCGGAGCAAAGCGCGTTGACTGCCTTGGGAATGGCTCTGGATGACCATTGTGGTAGAGATGGCACCATACTCTCGTTCCATGCATCTTCTGGCTAGATGACTCAGCCTAAACAAGAAATAGGTAGGATAAATACTTGGATGGAAACGCGCAGATGTTTTGCGCTACTAATCACAAGATGTGACTGATATGTAAAGGTTATTTGCGCGTGCTGCAAAATGCGCTCTGGGTATATGTATAGGAAAAGTAAAGGGTCCAATACAAGAAGGAAGACAAATGAAAATTGCAAGAAAGTTTTAGTTTGATTTTTGGAATTTACGTGTGCACTAGCTTAAATATGGCAAAAGATGATGAGGCGCATATTTGGCCAAATGTAAAAAAGAAGGGAGAAAAAACGAAAAATAAATATTTGGTCTTCTTACTTGTATTGTTCCCTCGAGACGTCTAAGTAAGGTAATCGAAGTAGTCGACATTTATTGCCACACTAGTCATCAATCGAGCGTTCCAAACCGACATAAAGCAAATTCACATAAGTGCCGAAGGAAAGGTACAAAATACAAAAAACTGCTCGGAAAAATAGAATCAAAAAGTATGAGCAGCATTGCTCGAATGATGGAACTACAAAACGCATGACAAGCGTAGGCAAACGATGACGTTCTGCGGCCTTAGCCGTCAACGCTGGGTTCGTGATCGCGACTACCACATAACAGTGCCTCGCGCCGGGACCCAAAGCATTCTGAAAGTAAGATTAGACGGAAAGGAACGGTTACCGCGCGACCTGCGCTCAGTCATACCAAAGAAATAGAAAATCAAACTAAAAGGAGATCTATGAACTCAAAAAATACTTACGCGAACAAGCTTTATTGTCGCAATCATGTTCTAGACGCTCCACGATGATGCTTTTTTGCTTTTGCGCGATGTTGACAATCGCGTTCCGGATCTTCCTCCTCTACTACTTCCAAGGGCAATAAATGATTTGTTGCATGTTCGACTACTCCTCTCTTGCCCGTTCCAAGTTTGGCTGATCTTATACTGCCATCTGGTGAGGTGTGTAGTCCCAAAATAGGTAGATCGGGTGCGCGCGCGTAAACATACGCGCGACCTTGATATCTCTTACAAGTTACACACCTGGAAATAAACGATTTTGCTAAACGTCTTAGTCTAGGTATGAAGAACCTCTCACGTAAAGCAGTAATCAGATGCGACGGTCCTGCGTGAAAGAGCTGATAATGATAATGCGCGATTATCTTATCGCAGAGAGGATGAGACGATAGTATGAGGATAGGATTCCTCACTGTACCGCTCGTCTGCGCATTAGCCATACACAAATCAACCCTTATGGTACCGTCCGTGTCGTATGTCGCGTGGAGCTTCTTCAGGTACGAGTTGTCCGTTTGGTGCTGACTCTCCCGGTAGTGCTCGCGTATGAGCACGAGTTCAGCTGCCATATCGTCATCGGATGTTACAGTAGGAGTAATATCCATCATATCAAGGAGAAAGCGTTCATTCTGATCTTCACACTGCTTGCGCGCCTTGGCTCTATGACGCAATTTAGCCACATACTTGAGGACGTAAGCCGTGATACGTACCAACTTAGCGTACGAATTCGTCCGCGCGAAAGGCACGAAGGACTTATACGTCTCCCGAACGTT